GGACCGGGCCGCCCGCGGGCAGCCCCGTGCCGAGCCGCAGCCGTGCGCTCTGCCCGCAGATCGCCGCCCTGCTCAAGGACAACGAGCGCATCCAGTCCGGGCAGAGCAGCGCGCCCAGCGACGACGACAGCGACATCAAGAAGATCAAGAAGGTTGGTGGCAGCGCCCGGCGCGTTCCCGGAGCGCGGCCGGCTCCTCGGCGCGCCAGCACGTGCTCGGGGAGGAGCTCTTGAGCCATACGTCTGTGTATGTATATACACATACATGTCTGCGAGCAGAGTTTTGCAAGGAAAGGCGCTCCCAGAATCGCAGATCTTTGCACGAGCTCCCCTCGTCCCCTGCGTGCTGGTGCCCGCTCCTGTGCGGCTCCTCCTCCCCGCCCCTCGCTCGTGCCAGGGCCGCTGCTCAGACTGGTGCTTCCCAGAGGAGCATCCGCAGACGGGAGCCCTGCAGGGACCCCGTGCATGGATACCCACGGGGATGCGTGCTCGCGGCACCTGTGCCAGGTGCTTTCCTACCTATCGCACCGTGTGCGGGGCTGCCGGGTGCACCAGGCTCCTGGGCTGGCTGGCTGGGTCCAGCGCGGTGGCCGGGCATGGGGACGTGGCACCCGGCACAGCGCGTGCCGTCCCCGCAGGTGCAGAGCTTCCTGCGCGGCTGGCTCTGCCGCCGCAAGTGGAAGACCATCATCCAGGACTACATCCGCTCGCCGCACGCCGACAGCATGCGCAAGCGCAACCAGGTGGTGTTCAGCATGCTGGAGGCCGAGGCCGAGTACGTGCAGCAGCTGCACATCCTGGTCAACAACTTCCTGCGGCCGCTGCGCATGGCCGCCAGCTCCAAGAAGCCGCCCATCACGCACGACGACGTCAGCAGCATCTTCCTCAACAGGTGAGCGCGCCGGGCGCCGCGGGAATGGGGACAGGGATGGGGTTGAGGACAAGGACAGGATGGGGCTAGAATAGGGGTGGTGACAGGAACGGGGATGGTGATGGGAGGGCAGGCAGCATCTCTCCTGCAGTGCCAGGGCTGCAGCCTCCTGTCACACTGTCTGCGATGGGAACGTGGCGCTCGGGCCACCTGGGGCAGAGCAGAAACGATGCCGAGTGTGTGTGGGTGCAGCACCGAGCAGCAGGGCTGCGGGGCCAGGGCTGCATCCGCACGGGAGCATCACGGGGCAGAGCTGCCCCAGTGCACAGCGCTGCAGGTGCTGCACGGCACTGCCGTGGTGCATGGTGCTGCACGGCACTGCATGGTGCTGCACAGCACTGCAGGCACTGCACGGCGCTGCCCCACGGCACAGCACTGCCGCGGTGCATGGTGCTGCTCTGGGATGTCCCCTCCATGCTGCCCTGTGCTGGTGTCACAGGGGAGATGCAAGGAGCACTCTGGGGTCCCGACACGTGTTCAGGTGTGGGAAGGTCCTGGGAAGCACCAGGGATCGGCCGCGGCCAGGGAGGCGTCCGGGCTCCGCAGGGCTCAGCTTGCCAGGCACACGACGGGGAGCCACGGACATTTATCGACCGCTGCGAATTAAACCCCTCCGTGGGCACCTGGGGGTTCCCGACAGATAAACTGCCCCCGGGGAGCAGGAGCAGCAGCGTGTCCCTGTCACCGGCTCCTTCTCCATCTGCCTTTCCCCTCTCGGGTTTTCTTGCAGCGAAACCATCATGTTTCTGCACCAGATCTTCTACCAGGGCCTGAAAGCGCGGATCTCCAGCTGGCCCACGCTGGTGCTGGGTGAGTGAGGGCAGCACTTCCCGCGCCTCCTTCCCTGCTCCTGGGTGGATCCCGACGGCACCCTCATCCTGCGGGAAGTGCCTGGCGCTCCATGCACATCGGCCACAGCTGGAACAGAGCGCGATGCACCGTGCGTGGCCACAGCGCCGCATCCCTCGGCTGTCACCTAGGGGTGCCCGAGAGTAGGAGAGGATGGGAAGGGTTCCCGGCTCCTGGCCTGGGGGTCAGGGCACAACGGGCTCTCCCACATGTCCAGGAGGCCCCTCGAGCAGCTCCCGGAGTCGGGTCCCAGCCTTGCCCGAGGCTCCCGCCTAGGGAGTGGACGCAGGGAACCAGAGCACGCGTGTGGAACTGGGGTGCGCGTGGGGACCCGGAGCATGCATGGCAGAACCGGAGCGCGCACGGGGAACTGGAGTGCATGCAGTGAAAGGGGGGCACGCGTGGGGAACCGGAGCACGCGCGACAGAACCGGAGCGTGCATGGGAAACCAGAGTGCATGTGCTGGAACCGGAGCGTGCGTGGGGAACCGGAGCACGTGTGGCAGAGCTGGTGCACGCATGGGGAAGCAGAGCGTGCGTGGCAGAACCGGAGGGCGCGCAGCAGAACCAGAGCACACACGGGGAACCGGCGCGTTTGTGGCAGAGCGGGAGCGCGCGTGGCGCCAGGCTGAGCTCGCCGCCCCTCTGCACCTGCAGCCGACCTCTTCGACATCCTGCTGCCCATGCTGAACATCTACCAGGAGTTCGTGCGGAACCACCAGTACAGCCTGCAGATCCTGGCACACTGCAAGCAGAACCGCGACTTCGACAAGCTGCTGAAGCACTACGAGGCCAAGCCCGACTGCGAGGAGAGGACGCTCGAGACCTTCCTCACCTACCCCATGTTCCAGGTGACCGCAGCGTGCGCCCCAGCGCGGAGCACATGTCCCTGTGTCCCCGTGTCCCCGCGTCCCCGCTGCCAGCTGACGCCTGGCTCCCTGCGTTGCAGATCCCGCGCTACATCCTGACGCTGCACGAGCTGCTGGCGCACACCCCGCACGAGCACGTGGAGAGGAACAGCCTGGATTATGCCAAGTCCAAGCTGGAGGAGCTCTCCAGGTGAGCTGGACGGCCGCGTTTCCCGGTGAATGTGTGGGGTGCCCCGGGGACTCCGAGCAGTGCCCTACGCTCCGATGGCTGCCGCGATTCCCGGGATGCCACTCAGGCACCGCTGCCCCTTCCTGCTCCAGGATCATGCACGACGAGGTGAGCGAGACCGAGAACATCCGCAAGAACCTGGCCATCGAGCGCATGATCATCGAGGGCTGCGAGATCCTGCTGGACACCAGCCAGACCTTCGTCCGGCAAGGTGACACGGGCCCATGGGCTGCGGGAGCCCGTGGGGCTGCGGCTTTGGTAGCCCCATGGTGGTTGGTGGCTCATGGGGCTGGGGCTTTTGTAGCCCATGTGGATGGTGGCCTGTGGGGCTGTGGCTTTGGTAGCCCAAGCAGCTGTTGACCCATGGAACGGGGGCTTTGGTAGCCCTTGGAGCTGGTGGTCTGTGGGGCAAGGGCTTTGGCAGCCCCGGGGGCTGGTGGCCCATGGGGCTGGGGCTTTGGTAGCCCCATGGTGGTTGGTGGCCCGTGGCACTGGACCTTGGCAGCCCCAGCTGCCCCGCAGCGGCGTGGCCGGACGCGGGACGCGGCTGCTCCTCTCGCCAGGGTCGCTCATCCAGGTGCCCATGTCGGAGAAGGGGAAGATCCCGCGGGGGCGGCTGGGCTCGCTGTCGCTGCGCAAGGAGGGCGAGCGGCAGTGCTTCCTCTTCTCCAAGCACCTCATCATCTGCACGCGCGGCTCGGGCGGCAAGCTCCACCTCACCAAGGTGCGCGGGAGCCTCCCGCAGCCTCCGCGGCCCCTTCCCTGGGATCGCGCTGCTCCCGGGGGAAGCTCTGCGCTTAATTGAGCAGGAATCTTAGAGAAATTGCTCATTACTGGCATTAAATTACTGGTTTGAAAAATTGCCGTCCGTGGCGAAGAGTTGATAATTGCAACAACAGGCTTTGGGGAAATTTAATTTAAAGCTCGTATTAAATAATTTATAAACAAATTAGTGGACTGGTTATACAAGGGAAGTGGCAATATCCCGGCCTTTCCTCCCATCAGAGCAGCAGAGCCCTCGCGAGCAGCCGCCCGCTTCCCACCCCTGGGAATGAGAGCTGGTGCGGGAAGGGGAGCAGGCATGGGAATGGGAGCAGGGGCGGGAGTGGGTTCCCAGAGGAGCCGGGCGCTGCAGCCCTCCTCCTCCTCCTCGGTGCATTGGGTGCATTGGGCGCCTTGGGCGCATTGGGTGTGTTGGGTACTTCGGGTGCATTGGGTGTGTTGGGTACTTCGGGTGCATTGGGTGTGTTGGGTACTTCGGGTGCATTGGGTGTGTTGGGTACTTCGGGTGCATTGGGTGTGTTGGGTACTTCGGGTGCATTGGGTGTGTTGGGTACTTCGGGTGCATTGGGTGTGTTGGGTACTTCGGGTGCATTGGGTGTGTTGGGTACTTCGGGTGCATTGGGTGTGTTGGGTACTTCGGGTGCATTGGGTGTGTTGGGTGCGTTGGGCGCATTGGGTGCACCAGGCGCACTGGGTGCATGGTGCGGCCTGGCGTGGGCTGCCCGTTCTGCTGCCCTGACCCGGTGCCGTCCCGCAGAACGGCGTCATCTCCCTCATCGACTGCACGCTCGTCGAGGAGCAGGAGAGCACCGACGAGGACGGTAGGTGCCGTGGGGACAGGTGGCACAGGCAGCAGGGTCGTACCGGGTCCTGCGGCCACCGTGGTGCTGCGCGGCCAGGACCCGGGGCTGGAAACGCTGCAGTGAATCCGTAGGGCACAAAACCCAGGCAGAGCAGAGCCGTGCGGAGCCAGACCGGAACGGTGCTGGTCCGGTGGGTCCAGTGAGGCTCCTGCTGAGCGGGTGACGGGCAGAGCCCCCCAGCCTGCCGGGTCCTGCAGCCCTTCTGTGCTCATCTTCTCTGTTCCAAAGCAAAAGCATCCGGGCAGGACATCGACCATCTCGACTTCAAAATTGTGGTGGAGCCAAAAGATTCCTCCTCCTTCACGGTCATCCTGGTGGCGTCGTCTAGGCAGGAGAAGGCTGCGTGGACCAGCGACATCAGCCAGGTAGGACGGATGGTCGGATGGACGGATGGATGGATGGAGCGACCCAGGGCGAGCAGCTGCTGCCGGGTCTCTTGTGCTCCTGAAACACTCTGTGTAAAAGTATGTACATATAGAATATAGCAGAGATGTAAATGGTCGCCCATGGGGTGCAAAGTCCTGCCCCCTGGGCTGGGCCAGCTGCATCCCAAGGGATGCTCTAGCCGGAGAGCGGGAGCAGCTCCCTGCACTGCCGGCAGCTCCAGCAGCACCGAGCCGGGCGTCAGCATCCCGTCCTGTCCTATCCTGTCCTGTCCTGTCCTGCCCCATCCTGTCCTGTCCTGTCCTGCCCCGTCCTGCCCCGTCCTGCCCGCAGGAGCAGGATTGGGAGCGGGGCCATCCCTGTGCACGGCCCCCCCTGACCCTCCTGCACTTGCACCTTGCAGTGCGTGGACAACATCCGCTGCAACGGCCTCATGATGAACGCCTTCGAGGAGAACTCCAAGGTCACCGTCCCCCAGATGATCAAGTGAGTGCTCCCGGCTCCCGGCTGGCTCTGCCCCCATGCTCTATCCCTGCCCCGGCCCCGTGCAGCTCCCACGGGTGCCGGATCCATCCCCACATGTTGCTCCGGTGGCGGCCGCCGGCTCCGTCCGGAGGGGCCGGGGGGTCCTGGCCGTGCCTGGCTCCAGGCTGGAACCTGGTGTCTCGTTTCTCTGCAGGTCTGACGCCAGCCTGTATTGTGATGATGTTGACATTAGGTTCAGTAAAACGATGAATTCCTGCAAGGTCCTGCAGATCCGCTACGCCAGCGTGGAGCGGCTCCTGGAGAGGCTCACGGACCTGCGCTTCCTCAGCATCGACTTTCTGAACACGTTCCTGCACTCGTACCGCGTCTTCACCACGGCCCTCGTCGTCCTCGACAAGCTCATCACCATCTACAAGAAGCCGATCAGCGCCATCCCCGCACGGTGAGGCCGCCCGCGCCGCTCCGTCCCGGCTCCGTCCCGGCCTCCGCGGTGCCTCCGTGGTGCCTCCAGCGTGCAGGCCCGGCCGGAGATGCCCCGG